CTCAGGATAGGCTAGGGACAACTCTATAAATTTGCTTCCGAGACGAGCTGGTTGATGGAGGGGTTTGAGGTCAGCTGAGGCCGAGCACTTGCGAGTGTCCGAGGTTGGCTAGAGTCGAGCACTTGTGGTGTCCGACCTGTAGAGGAAGTAAAAGTCAGAGGCCCCAGATCGATGCCCGAGGCAGGGACTCCAACGGGCAAGTTAGTAGGAACGTGGCGAAGAGGGCGGACAAGGCCTGAGTGAAGTAGCTCATACGAGGTTGCCAAGAAACTAGAGAGTTTGGAGTAGCGGGTGTCCAAATTCCAATCCCTTACCTAAAGGGGGTTGTCCCTTATTTATACGTGGTCCCGTGCTGCGCACCACCCTCAGCCACGTGTCGTTGTGCTACTGGCCTACCTAAAGTGCCTACATTAGGGCCCATTTGTTTTTTGGATTTTGAGAAGGGGATGTTGGTAAATGGGATTTTGGTTCCTATTGACCAAGATACCCACATTCTTTTTTCAAATTTATGTGGGGTTCATGGAAAATTTATTTTTCTAGTTATATCCATTTCTCAAGTGGGTAAATAACTTTTCCACTTGGAGGGGAAGTTGCCAACACTTGGATGTGACAAACTTACTCCTTTTGATAATAGCTTTCTATGGCTAAAACGGTCACTATCTTATTTACCTGGAAAATAAAAGAACATGGGTGAATGCACTTACTAGGTAAGTGTTTCCCATTTAAGTAAATTCCTGAAAAACATGTAGTAGTTCTAAGGAAACCATGTGTATCAGAGGCTACCTGACATGCACATTCACCCGCACCTAAGCATATTTAGTCCACTTCAAAGCATCACCAAAAGAAATAGGAAAAGGGATTCCAAACTTCATGGCTAGAGCACCTGCCAGCCATTGGTGCTGTCCAATAACCTACGGGTAAGCACGAAAAGTGAACCTAGAAGTCAGTTCGATCAACATGGTATTTGGAAGTGTGGGCGCTTTTTGGGACCGATTTTCAAGAAAAAACGCCCATGCTTCCAAGATCCGTTTTTCACAAAAAAACGCTTCTGCCATGTAGGCAATGAGCAACACTATGCTGTTTGGTAAGGTGATTTTCATTACCATTTTTCGTGTATGTGCTTACAGGTAAACACCACATAGGATACACATCAGTCAACCATTGGGTGATACGATTCACCGATGCATGCATCAGTGGGATCCCGATTTTCGAGGCATGCCCGATTTTTTAATAACAAACAATGAGACACACGGGCATTTGTTGAAATGACTATGTATATCCAACGTGGCACCGTTTGCCACAGTTCTAAACATCCCCCAAGTAAGTAGCTTGAAGGCGCTCGATCACATTCAGATTGTTGACTAATAATTAAATCATTTTGAAACAGCATGGGCTATGTTGAAAGATAAAATCCACATGGGCAACAAGAAGCATTTTACTGTCACATATCCATTAGTGGGCCCATCTATCAAGGAGAAAAAAGAAAGGTTGCTACTTGAAATCTTTAGGCACAAGTATGTACTATCTAATTGAATCGGTAAGAGTCTTTGTAAATCCATCCATGTATTGTGTTCACCTTGGGTCATGTGGAGTCAATGTTGCTAGTTAGGTAGAAAGTGATTGGATTGAGTAGGGTAATGGATTATAATGGAAATCAAGTTTTTAAGAGTCGGATATTCAAGAGTTTATTTAAGTTGTAATTCTCCTCTTGATTAAATTATTATTATGAGAATTATCCCTTTTGAATTGAGAGTTACCTCTTTCGAGGTCTTCGTCTCCCTCCAAGTAGACAGAATTCACATTACGTCATATTTGGGATTGTAACATTTACCAAGGAGTCTTTCCCAAAATCACCAATGGATTTGGCTCTCTTTCCTAATCTTCAAGATACTCTCCTTTGAGCCTTGGACACTGATCTGTCTATCAATAATCACCTTAATAAAGAGATTCTTCTTCCATTCATCCCTAATCTAAAACATCCAAAGATTTTGATTTTCAATGAAGACGTTGAGCCCAGAACCAACGAGTTGGCAAAACTACTGAACGGCTGAGGAAATTGAGTAGAGAGTTGTTTTTCAGATATTATGGACGTTTGGAATCTGGTCTGAATATGTGTCTGAAACTCCATTTCATATCTGAAATCGAAAGACAACCTCTTAATGCATTTCACACCGTGTTAAAAGACAAAAAATAGGTCTCAACTTTGAACGTCCTCCCTTGCAGGTGCAATTCCGGGAAGAGCTGGGATCGACCGATAGAAGCAAACTGACTGGAGCTACCGCTGCAGTTCCCCACAACCATCTGTTCGGTGATAAGAGGAAGAAGACGAACAACAAGTCTGGGCATTTAGAAGAAGAAGGGGAGAGAGGGGAAATAAAGAGAGAGTTTAGAGGGAGAATAACCGGAGAGAGGACAGGGGGAATACCACCACCCCTGTTCGGCCTTTGCAACGAGAATGATGATCAACAGTGCCCAAAACCGATCCGCCACAGCTTCGAATGTCCTCCCTCTTCCAGGTTCGATCCCGGGAAGAGCAAACTGGTGTTGCTGGGATCGGTCGATAGAAGTAAACTGGCTGGAACTACTGCCGCAATTCCCCGCCGCTCTCTGTTCGGTGATAAGAGGAAAAAACGAACAACAGATCTGGGCGTTTGGAGGAAGAAGAAGAAGGGGAGAGAGGGGAAATAGAGAGAGAGAGAGAGAGAGTTTAGAGGGAAAATAACCAGAGGGAGGAGGGGGAATAGGAATACAGCAACCCCTGTTCGTCCTTTGCAACAAGAACGATGATGAACAGTGCCCAAAAGGCCGAAACCGATTAATTATTTTTTATTATTCATTCGTTATCTTTATTGACTTTAATTGTGTTATTTTATAATTATTAATTATTAATTAGTAATTATTTTAAGTTTTATTTGTGTAAATTACTAACTATTAATTATTTTTATTACTTAATAATTATTTTTTAATTTTAATTGTGTTATTTTTTAATTCTTAATTATTTTAATTTTTTCTAAGTATTAATTACCTTAATATTTTTATTAGTCATGAATTATTTTTAATAATCTTAAATGTGTTATTTATTATTTTTTCTTTGTATTATTTTGAATTTCATAAATTATTTAATATAAAATAATAGAAATTGAACTCAAAATGATCAGATAGTCTGCTTTAGGGGTAAAACGGTAAAATTACAAATTTCAGATGCTGAATGGTTGATCCAACACAAACAATCTTATCTATTCAGAACATCTAAAAAGTAAAAAAGCATCGTAACTATTTTCAGATTTCAAACACTTTTAATATCTTTTTAACTTTTCAGATTTATCAAAGGCCACCTAAATTTGGGCAGTGCAGATTTATACTTTTGTAGTCCTAACCTCTTTGAGAAATTTATGATCTATTTTTCCTTACAAATTATTATTGGTTTTCTAAATGTATTATCTAAAACCTTCGTTCTACTACAGCACTATCCCTTTGAATTGTAATAAATTCCCTAACTTATCATTGTTTCCAGTTGTACAAACTCATACAAATTTATAAGATGGAATGCATAATAAAACCCCAGATTCTAATTTCAATGGCTGACTTTGGCGGTTCGAATCAAGAATTTCCAATATTCTCGACCATTTAGGGGAACGCCCTTGAATGGATAAGCGCTAACTTCACAACCTACTAACCCCTGTAGTTAACCTGGACCGTCCAATTAATCATCCACTACGTGACAACCCACTACATTTGGGCTTTCCAAGGTTAATCTGAGCCATCCAATGAATAACATGTGACAACCCACTTCCACTTGTGTCCTGTATGTGATGGAGCATGGGCCCTCCTCAAGAGTGTAGATTAATTTATGCACCATGTGACAACTCACTTATTCCTTGAATGAGGTGGAGCATGGGCCCTCAGCAAGTTAATCTGGACCGTTCAATTGATTATGCACTGTGTGAACCCACTTATTCCCTGTGTATGCGGTGGAGTATGGGCCCTCCACAAGTCAATATAAACCTTCCAATTGATCAGTCAGAGTTTGATAAAGGCAGAAAAAGAACTAAGGTACCCTGCATTTTGGGGATAGTGATAGATAGGTATCCTGAATTTTCAATTGCAACACTTGAATATCTTGAAATTTCAAAAATTGATACTTAGGTCCATTTGTTAGTATTCCATTAGTTATACATTACATAATGTCAAAAACACCCTTCTTGTATATTTCTAAGATCATTTTTAGGTAATCGAACGTCTCACCATGATGACGTTCTCACATGGATAGTAAATTACATATTCAAATTTTCTGACGATGGTATTCTTTGGTGATGATTTTACTTCGTATAATGGTCTAAAAAATACACGAGAAGGGTACTTTGAACAATATATAATGTTTAATTGACGGAATACTAACAGATGGACCCAAGTGTTTATTTTTGAGAGTTCAAGGTACTCAAGTGTTGCAATTAAAAGTTCAAGATACCTATCTATCACTATCCTCAAAGTACAGATACCTATCTATAATTTACCCAAAGAACAAATATATTACATCTTTTATTTATCTATTAATCTACACTTTTTTGGGCTCTTGATTCATCAAAAATGCATTAGTAAGGATTCAACAGCCTGGAACAATGTAGAACCACCTCTCTCTCTCTCTCTTTCTTACTGAATACTACTAGTATATATGCAACATATACTTTACACCCAGCTTAAGTTTTTAGAATTAATTTGATCCAAAGGCTGAGAACACATGGCTCCAATTGAGTGCCATGGCCCGACAAACACACATCCATCAATTGGGTTCAGCCTAAGTAACCAGTTTTCTTGGTAGTTGCCCAAAAGTTCCCAACAATGGTTTAAATATCAATATCCTCCTAACATTAGAATGCTATTTTAATCAAAAGAGAGCGACCTAACTGTTTTTTAAACTGGCATTCCTGTTTGGAAGCAGGCTTTCTGCTCAAGTAAAGTTGGTTGGGGGTCATGGAGTGAAAAAGCGGCCACCACCCCATCATCAAAATAAAAGAAAACTTGTAAATTTACCCTCATAAAAATGTCAGGAAGGAGGATTCAAAACAAAATTTGATTGTTGCAGAGAGGAAGCAGATTCAAAGCTCCAGAGACTAGAGACTAGAGTCTAGAGAGAAGGAAAAGGAAGAAAAACTAATGTTAAAAGGAAATGAAGGAAAAATGCAGTTGGTATAGGAAGGGAGACTGGGCAGAGAAAGAAGACTAATAACATCTTTCCTTTCTCTCCTTTTTGCACAACAACAGCTTTTGAAAGAACTGAAGCTTTGAAGGTCGGCCCAGGTATTAATTCTCCCTTTTAATTCCATCTTTTTGTTCTTTCTTAATTTTATCAGATGAGATATCTTGAGAGTTCTCTCCTTAGAATTTGCTTTTTATGGTTCTTATCTTAGAAAGGAAAAGAAAAAAAAAAAAACTCTTAGCATGCAAAGTTTGGAGAAATAATAAACTTCTTTTCTTGCTTCACCAATTGTGGAAATCTTACTAACTCTTATCCTGATCAAATTTTCAGATTTTTTATAAGCTGAATAATATATACTCATCCCTCTTCCTCTTCTATAAGGAAGGACTCAGATTGTGACAGGTTAAAGAGCCAAGTTCATCACCTTTCTCTCCTTCAATTCAAGAATTCCAAGATGAAAGGACCTGAAGCCTGAATTTTAGTTAAGGTACTAATTCTTTCAGAAAATACGATATTCCTTTCTTAATTGTGCCTATATTCATCCCTTCATTCTGTGGAGACACTCATTAATGGTGTTCAATACAGAGATGAAAAGCAATAACTGATTAATTTATCAAGTTTTTTCAACCCCNCCCCCCCCCCTGCAATTGGAAACCCATAGCCGCAGATGGGCAGAATTTTAACGGACACTGTCGAAAACTCGAAATAGAGAAGGCTATATCATAAGTCTTTGACCCCTTTTTAGTGGTTGAAATGGGAGAAACCTTCGATCCCATGATTGTAGTTTAGTTCATCAACTGATTTGTCCACAAGTTGTGAAATTTGGTCCAATTCCGTCCAATACGAGTCCATTACAAATGGACTAGGCCCAATCAAATCATGAATAATTTGAACCCAATTCAATGTTTGGATTATCCAATCTGTTGAAATTGGCTTTAATTTAGATTTGCTGCAATCCGAGCCTGGTCCATTGACACCTGTATTCTTATATATCTTCTATGGATGGAACGGATATCAGTTCAATGATTCAATCTGATCCAATCCAATATAAATACATTATGGATGGACCAGGTCCAATCCAATCCAATAAATATTTTGGACCATTAAGTCTGGACTGGTCCAATTCAACGTTGTTTTGGTCCATCCAATCCTGTCTAAATTGATTTTGATTTGGACGGGGTCCAGCCCCATTAACACCCCTTAATTGTACGCATGGATATTCTATTTCAGATTTATCAGCTTTAAATTTATACCAATAGCAGATGTGATGAAAGGTGTCTTGTACTGAAGGGACAAATTACAAGCAAAAGTTGAGGCAAAAGGAAGAAACAAATAATTAATGGATCTTTATTCTTACAGGAGTTTTCTTTTATACAAAAAAAAAAAAAAAAAAAAACGCCAAACAAGTTAAAGTTTGTGTATTCTCTGTTTGTTCTTTTATTCTTTTGTTTCTTCTTGGTTTTTGTTTTTTGGTTTCTAATTTTTATCTAATGATAGGAGCATGGGGAAGAAAGGAAGTTGGTTTTCTGCAATCAAGAGAGCTCTATTACCACACCCTAAAGAGAAGGTAGCTAATGTAAGTAGTTACCTCATTCAACCATTAGGGTTTTGAGTTCAAATCAGCCCCCACAAGACTATGCCCTACATCCCTGTCGTGTATTGGGAACATCTCTAGATGATGACATCATCATTTTTGATACTATTATCGGGAGATGTTTCCAATATACCACGGAAATATACTGTGAGACGTTGTGGGGCACAGTCTTGGGGGGCTGATTTGATCTCTAGGGCTTTGGTTCATCTATTTCCTTTTAATCACCTTAAATCTAAACCTGCATGAGTTATTGCATTCAACTTGGGGACTAATATTTTCATTATGATGATTGAGCACAGGGATCAGAGAAACTAAGTGTGAAGGAAAAGAAGAAGTGGGGAATACGGAAGTTAAAGCATGGAGATGGCAGTTCATTCATTCCTCTCCATAGAAAACCTAGCAGCATTGAGAAAATACTGGGAGATGCCGAAAGAGAGAAGAAAAAGATGCATCCAGTGTCTTCCCATCAACAACAAAAGGTTCAACCTTCCATGCACGGAATGTCTTTCAACCAACAGCAAAAGGTTCAACCTTCTATACCTCTCATGCATCCAACATCTTCCCATCAACAGCAGAAACTTCTCTCTTCCATGCTTCCCATGGCTTCCAGGGTTGCAGTTAATCACCATAAAGAAGTTCAACGCAAAGGCCCTCCAAACAATTTCAACACTTCAGCTATAAAGATCCAAGCAGCCTTTAGAGGTTACATGGTAATTTAATGCCCCCATATTTTAAGGATTACTTGAATTAACTCACCTCGGAAGGTGAATATATGATTTCCATAAAAATTGTGCATACTACATGTATATATCATGGTTTTTGAACCGCCGTTGAACCGGATAGTCAGACCGTTTGGCCCGAATCCGATCTCTGGCCAAAAATCATTGAATCCGTCAACGACCCATTGACTCGGACGATCAAACCGTCGACCCGTTCAACGGTTTTTGGCCATTTGTTATTTTTGTTATCAGAACGGGCCATCTGTTCGAACTAGATGGCCGAACCGTCGACCCAAAAATCGGTGGCCAAAATGGTTCTGTTTTTAAAACCATGGTATATATAACCATTCCTTTCTATTTTATGCCATAACCATTGTTAAATTATAATACCTAAATCATTTTTGACTACTTTGACCCATAGCCCTTCTAACCCCCTTCAAATTGCAAATAGATCAATTTTTCTCACGGGCACTATTGGTGGTCTTCTATGCACATGACCAAAACATCTTAGTCTACTTTCTCTCATTTTATCACTTATTAGAGTTACTCCTAAGTTTTCTCCAATGTCTTTGTTTTTTATCATTTCTTTTCTAGTTTTTTCACTCATATATTTCACCATATGCATTTATGCTATAGATATATTGTGCCTCGACTGTCCAACATTCTATTCCACACATAACATATTTGGCCTTTTAACTAGTTTTATAAAAATTTCCTTTCAACTTAAGTGGCACCCATATATTACATAAGACTCTAGATGCACCTCTCCATTTTGACCACCCCACTCTAATTCTATGGGCAACATCTTCCTCAGCCTCTACCTTGCCATCAATTATTGAACCAAGGTACCAAAAAAGATCACCTTGCATTATCTTTTGATAATTTGATCTCCAACCCCAAGTGTATCATTCCAACTATTATTAAAATTACATATCCTATTTTAGTCATACTTATTTTAAAATTGATTATGTCTAGAGTATTTGTCTATAAACTTAATTTTGCATTTAATCCTTCAATTTCATCAAAAACAATATCATTAACAATAACATGCACCATGAAACTTCATCTTGGATGTGTTTTACAAATACAAGAATTAAAATATGGATACAAAATGCTCCATATTAGGTGTATCAAGTGTATCGTATCCATATTGGTTTACACAAGGATTAAAATATTGATATGCCTAATACCCAAAATTAGGGTATTCGTGTGTCTCTATATGATCAACATCCACTTTTTATTTCTTTTTTTATTTTACTTTATTAAAGTTAAAGGGATTCCATTTGTCATCCCAAAGTTTCAAAACTCTTGTGTATATATGTATCTATGTGTATATAGGTGCATCAATATAGATACGATATGCCTAATGTAAGAGTATATCATATTGATATTTTAATGTTTTGGTGTCAAGATATGCATGGATAATTCAAAAGTTTTAGAACTCTAGGACAATAGATGGCATCCCTCTAATGTTAATAAAATAAAAAAAGGAATGCCGATCATATTAATATGATCACCAATACCCAACTTTGGGTATTGGGCATATCAATATTCTAGTCCTTATGGAAATAAACAAGGGTAAGTGTTAATTTTTTGCGAAGATCCATCATAATTGCAAAATTTGATGTCTCTCCCACAAGTATTCCAACCAATGTTTAAAGAACCAAACCGGTCATAGAGCCAGAGAAGGGAGAGGTTCAACTAGAGGTCGAACTGTGATGATATGGCATATATATAGGTCAAATAAATACTATATTTAATATATATATATATATATTATAACTTTAATATACTTAAATATGGTGTATGGATGGTAAGTTCCTTAATTTGTAAAGCAAATAACTAGAGTTCAAGTTTCTTAATTTACATTTTCTTTAAAATACATGCATAATAAAGTAATATGTACAACAAAGAATCATTAATTAAGCAATATATGAAAATAAGAGGTCATGGGTTCAAATCTTATTAAACACATTTTAAAATTTCAATTGATTAAAGATCCAGGCGTTTCATAAAACCATGACTGGTTCATCGGTTTTCCAATTAAACTGGTTAATCAGCTGGTTTTCATCGGTTTTTTAGTGAAAGTGGTTATTGAGGTAAGACTAAACCGGCCAAGGTCCTAGGTCATGATTCAATCAATCTAACCAACTGGTCCTGTATGGTTTTCCAATTACTGGCTCTAACATTGGTTATTGCACTCTCATACATATCCTTAATTAGATCTATATACCTATTAGGAAATCCTTTCTTTTCTAAGGCTCATCAAATTATTTCTCTAGCGACCATATCATATGCTTTCTCTAGATCAATAAGAACCATATGGAGATCTCTCTTCTTCTCTCTAAGCTTTTCTATCAATTGTCTCAAAATATAAATAGCTTCCATGGTTGATCTCCTTGGCATAAACCCAAATTGGTTTTCTAATATATTTGTTTCATGACATAACCTTTGCTCAATTATTCTCTCACAAAATTTCGTTGTGTAGCTCATAAGTTTAACCCCCCCCAATAGTTATTACAATTTTATATATCACCTTTGTTCTTTAATATCAGCACCATGCTCTTTCTTCATTCATGAAGCATTTTACTTGTCTATCACAATTCTATTAAATACCTTAATTAGTCATAATAAACCTCCCCCTCCCATACCTTTCCATACATCTATTAGAATACGATTTAGTTCTAATGTCTTTTCCTTCTTTATCTTATTTAGCACCTTTTCACTTTAGTAATTTACAAAGGTACATGTTATTTCTAACACCATTAGTAATTAGTACAATTAATATCTCCTCTACAAGTGCCCTTTACATGTTTATTTAATAATTTTGCAAAATAGTTTTTCTATATTTCCTTGATTTCCTCGTCTTTTACTAAGACTTATTTTATCTTCCCCTTTAATACACAATATGGTTTAAATCTTTACCTTTCCTTTCTCTCATTTTTACTAGTTTTTATCTTTAGTTTTTTATTTTTTAACCTAGTGCTCATTGTATGTCTTAAATCTAAGTTCACTTACTTTCTCTTTAACTTCCTTTCGTGAGGTTCAACATTTTTCCAAAATTTCCTTATTTTTAAATGTTTGTCAATCTTTATAACTTACTCTTTTTAATCTAATTATATTTTGAACATCTTCATTGAAATTGGATTTGGTACTCACAAGATTGTACTCACAACGTTCGCACAGTCCCTTGCAACTGTGCATTAGGAATATCTTCCCATGAAAATAAACATACAACTATGGAGATGTATCCCCAATGCACGGATGTAAAAGACTGTAAACACAATGTAAGAATGGTTCTATGAGGACTGAATCCGAATTCATCTTCATTCCACCACCAATTTTTTAACACTTTTTCATTTCTTTTTAAATCTTTCTAAAACATCCTTTGCTACCTTTTTTATACAATTTTCCATTTTAAGCCATATATCATTAGTCTTTCCATCTAAATCCCATTTTCTATTTATTATGAACCTATCTCTAAATTGTGTTAATTTTTCTCTTTTTAGATTCTCCCACCTAACTTTCGGACACCTATTGTTCCCCTATTTCTCTTTAATTTACTAATGCACACATCTACCACCACTAATCTATGTTGTATGGTTAAGTTTGCCCTTGTGATAACTTTGAAATCCTTAAACATCATTCACTTTAAATTCTAGGATTGTATTCCTATTTCATTCCTCTCCCTAAACCCAAATCCTCCATGCACTATATCATACCATGCACTTCTTTTTCCAACATGTCTATTTAAGTGTCCACTTATAAATATCCTCTTTTCATTTGGAACTTCTTGGATTAATCCTTTCAATGTTTTTCAAAATTACTTTAATGTTTCTTCTAAGGACTAACTATGTTAATGATTCTTGACCTAAATCAAGTCTAACTAAAATTATTCTATTGTTAATTCTTTTAATATTTACAATTTCATTTTTAGATCTTACCTACTTTTATCGCTACTTAATTTCTATTATTTACTTCTTTAATATGTCATAATGCATAGCCATTAATTTCTTTAGCTTTTTTACCCTTGCCCTTAGTTTCTTGTAAACTTGTAATACTAATCCTTATTTTTTTCATAGGGTCTATTAATTCCATAGTCTTTCATATTAGTGTTTCTAAAATCCAAGTAGCTACATGAAATCATGTTTCTTCAACTTGCTTCTTTACACACCCTTTCAAGAAGAATTTAGGAACTCGTGTGAATTTAACACCACAAGGGAGTATTATTGTAGCAAGTCGCTTCCGGAGACCATCCTAGCATACTCTTGCCCATTTGACACTATACTCAAGTAAAGGTGTAATGGGTAGCTTCTAGAGAATGCCCTAGCATTAGCATGAGAATACATAACATGAGAGTTTGACAAGTTTAGTGTATGTTGTCAACTTAATGCAACCCTCCTTTGTTCGAGCTTAGGACCAATAGTGTAAGACATGATACTAGAAGGACTTTAACTAATAGACCCCCCCCCCCTTTCTGAATTTTGATAAACGCCACCTCATTGGTTACCACTTTTATGATATAAGTTGATTGGTTACAAGTTTTTACAATATCATGTCTTTCCGGTATCATAGTCAAGCCCATATATATGAGTATACCATAACATAACATGTGTGTATGTGCGCGTGTGTGCAATGCCAGGTCCCCTAATTAAATGGGGGTTTGATATTTGAAGTTGAAGGAGCACATACCTTAATATTGTGTTTATAGGTAGTATATCATTTCCATTCAAATAGAAAGATGTGTTGAATAATGACATTTACAGATGGGTGTATATGTATGATATATTGATGCATGGTCATGTTTTAATAATGTGAAGAGTCATAATGCGCTAGGGCATGAACCATGGACTATACATCACCATTTCAAACTGAACTTCGCTCATTGTTATATAGGCTAGGAGGAGCTACCGTGCTCTAAAGGGTCTAGTGAGGCTACAGAGAGTGATGCAAGGGCAAAGCGTGAGGCGGCAGACCATAAACGCCATGAAGTTCATGCAACTCCTAGTGAGAATCCAAACACAAATACAGTCACGGAGGATTCAGATGCTGGAAATCCATAAGCAAAATTTTGACAAGAGTGATAAAGAAGTAGAGAGCATCTTGGGCAAGTGGACTCAACCAGTAAGTTCTTAAGATTGACTGATTGTCTTGGTGCCTGTTTGGGAGGGATGAGTTGAACATTCAGCTAAGCTAGATCAGTTGCATTGAGGTGAATCAGATAAACTATCTAGAGAAACTAAAACAGATAGCCCAAAAACATGACTGACTGACAGTTGATTTAGGCTTTCCAGATTTTTCACCAAAAATAGCTTAATGGTTGTCTGTGTAGGCCCACCTCGAAAAGCTAGAAACTGCTACGCTTCATCCCTCCCAAACAGGCAATTATTTTTATGAGATTCCTTCAACCATCTTCCAATGTTGGCTAATTTTTACATTACAAACATCAATCAAAAAAAATTCTAATTCTTTTTGAAAACTTTACTCTTTATTTATCCATTCTTTTACTATAGTCTGAGATAGGACACCAAGAGGAATGGGATGATAGCTTGCTCACGAAGGAGGAAATAGAAGCAAGGTTGCAAAGAAAGGTGGAAGCTGTCATAAAAAGAGAGAGGGCTTTGGCCTATGCATATTCACACCAGGTAACAATCTCATGCACATAGTTCTATCCATAAAAAAACATGGTACTATTGACGACAAAATTCTGAACATGAACTTTTGGTTTAGGACTAGCCCACTATAGACCTTTTTTATTGTTTGCTCTTCTGATATAAATTCCAAATTAGGTTGGAGATTAGACATATTTCTTTGATGGATCTGTTGTGTATTTGAAGTGTAAACACAGATGTGGTCTAGAAAAAGGATCTAAGATCCTACAGCTGCAAATAATATCCATTTATCCAAATTCAAATTTGAATATAATTCAATCCGGTTAAGGGTAATCTGATTTGATCCCTTTATAATTGGATAAAAAATGGATCCACCTACCCAATCTGAGATAATCCTATTTTGTTTCAATTGAATATATATGTGTATATGTATACTTAAATTTATATTTTATCTTTTAGTAAAATTGATTTGAATGTTTTCATGTATTTTTACTAAAGAGTCATTGATTCATGTTTCATAAAATTATTATTCATGACATATATACAATATCAGTCATTTTTAGATCCTTTTATTAATATATAATTTTTTTATTTTTTAGTTTAATTTAGGGTCATTTAGTAGAACACCCCCTATAGTTTCATAAATTCACAAGATTGTTTATTCCAAAAGTACCCATAACACTTCTTAATATAGAAAATAAATTTGACCAAATAAAGTGGTTGCTCGTGTTTTATTAGGGGCAAAATGGTGTTTTGAATTTATTTTATTTTGATTAAATTTATTCGAATGGATATTAGAGTCAAAACTACCATTTTTCACTATTATATAATTGAAGGTCCATTAATTAAGTTGATTGCAAACTATAGGGGGTGTTCTAGTAAATTAAAAACTATGGAGTAGGTTATAGTAAATACATGAAAACTAGGGGGTGTTTTAGTAAATAACCCTTTTATTTTATTAGTATTGTTCAATATCTGATAAAAATCCAAACTCATTTTGAATAATCTGACAGATAAGATTTGATTCAAACCTGAATATAAACAAAACAAATTTGGATATATACCTCTCCTCATATCCCTTTGGATCCATTAATTTGCAGCCCTACCTACCATGACTTGTGGGTCTTGTATCAAAAGCTCAAGGCCTCAACTCAATAATTTTTTATCTATGATCTAGTCCTGGACTCATTGGTGGAATATAATAATGTATATGGTTTTCAAACCGCCATTGGCCTGGACGGTCGGACAGTTCGACCCGGGAACCATTCAGGTAACCAGTTCTGTTTTCCCCAAACCTAGTCTCTGGCCAAAAACCATTGAATCGGTCAACGACCCATTGACCCGGGCGGTCAAATCATCGACCCATTGACCCATTCAACGATTTTGGACGTTTTTTATTTTAATTATTTTTTTATGTTTTTATTTTTTTGTTGTTATGACCCATTAACCCAGTGGCCAGAACGGTTCCATTTCTTGGTCGTTTTTTAAAACCATGATAATGTATGTTTTGCATTGAACAGTTATGGAAGGCCACTCCTAAATCAGCTCAAACAGCATTCATGGAGATTAGATCAGGAGGATACCCTTGGTGGTGGAACTGGCTAGAACGACAACTTCAAGGTTATCACTCAGAAAGACAGGCCATTCATGCAAAGAAGGAACTAACTCCATCCAATCCCATTATGGAGCTCAATCCACAGCCTCCATCCCATACACCAGCATCTTCAAAGCATGAACCAGCTCTGTCAAGCCGAGCAGCATACACAAACAGCTCCACCCTAGTAAAGCATGCAAAACCAATAAGAAGCACTACAGCTGAGTTGCCAAAGGATGTTCCATTAATGAGGGATGATGAGAGCCTAACAAGCTGCCCTCCATTTTCCATGCCAAATTACATGGCACCAACAGTTTCTGCCAAAGCTAAAGTCAGATCTCAGAGCACTCCCAAGGGACGACCACTAGTGAGTACTCCAAGTCAAGAGCTAAAGAAAAGGTTCTCTTTTCCTTTAAACCAAAGCATCGGGTCTTTGAGGTGGAACAAGGGCTCTATATTCTCCAGCAAGGATTCCAGCTCCCAGAGGATAACAGGGAAGCATAAGTCTATGCAGTCAATAAGTAATTTAAGTGTGGATTCCTCCATTTCTTTGCCTATTGGAATTGGAAGGAAGTCATTCGAGTGAACAAACTGTGTGATTTTTTTTTCTTTGATTTTCTTTGTTCTTCTTTATAACTGGATGGGGTGTTTGATTAAGATGTTTTAACTGAACCCTTATATAGGAAGTGATAATTGGATATGAAGATCATCATATGACACATATGTATTGATGTATTTCCCTTGTTTTATTGCTTGTAGAGCTTGATCACATTGTCTCCCTAAGCATTAACAGTTTGGCAATGGACTAGGTAATTTTAAGCTGCGGTTCCTAGCTATTCCACCTAAAATTTGAATAACAACACCAAATGGTTACCTGATTAGGTGCCCGATCGGGCCTTAGCCCATCAGGAAGGCTTTTGGTTTGAATATGAGTTGTAGATTTTCTAAGTTTAAAAGAGTTTCAATCTTTCAAGGCAAACCCATTTCAGTATGACATATCACTTTAAGTTTGACACTACCAAGATAGTTAATAAGTCAAGCCTTGAAAAGCTACTTGCATTAATTACTTTTTTGTTAACTACAATTTGTTTTTAGAATTTTAGAATTGGCATAGAAAAGATTATACCTCTTTCTAGTAGGGAAAAAAAAAGAATTAAGGCCTCGTTCGGTAAGTTATTTACACAGGTAAATGCAATTTCCTATGTAAGTTTTTCTTGGGAAACACTTACTTGGGTAACTGCATTTACCCATGTTCTTTTATTTCCTAGGTAAATATGGTAATGACCATTTTAACCATAAAAATCCATTATTAAAAGGGGCATTTTTGTCCCATTCAAGTGCTAGCAACTTTCCCCCTAGGTGGGAAAGTTATTTACCCACTTAGAAAATGGGTATCACTTACCCAGGTAAGTAATACCCAATAAAATAAACTTTCCCTAGTCCCCATATAAATCTGAAAAATGAACATGGGATTCTTGGTCAATGGGAACCAAAATCCCATTGACCAATTTTCCCCCATCTCAAAATCCAAAAAAAAAAAAAAAAAACACCCCCTAAACTTCAAGTTTTGGAATACCTCCTAGTTCTCTTGTATTAATAAATTACCGTTTTCTTATGAGCTTAGAAAAACCCATCATCCTATACTTGTTACTTTAGCTTAATGTGGTTTATGCAAACTATAACTTGCTACATAAGAAGCATTGTAAGCCTTTAAGAATATTGATCCAAAGAATTGTGTTAGATTATCTTAAACAAACAAATGGCCACATAAAAAGATGGTAACTCCTAGGCATTATAAATTACATTGAAGAAAAAGTTCTCTCTTTAGATCAAACAATTCTACAATAATAACTTGATCAAATAGCATTGTAACAACAAATTAACCAATTTGCCTTTACACATATACAACAACCAACATCGTAGGTCATGTACAACCCCAAGAGCAATGAATTAGCAAAAATGACCTATACATGAGTTAACCAGAATGCCTCTATAGTTTGTCATAAATAATTTAAGCAATGCATGCCAAGTTACACAAAGAATACAGTAAGATTAAGTTAAATAACACATTTCAAACCATAACAGACAATACCATACAAATATTATCCATAACTTACATAGACTTGAAACACTACAACAAAGTTAAGTTTATGATTTCTTAGTGCACAAAGAATATCCATCACTATATGATAATTTTAAGCTGAAATTCACATAAACTGTTGGTATCTATATCTATATATTAAAATGGAATGGTATGATGTAGAATCTATTTTTTCTCCTTTCTTCTCCTTTTTATATTTTTAATTCTACATAATTCCACATCATCTTTAAGATTTCACCTTTCATCATTAATTATATTTCTATTTCCTCATTAACTCCTTGTGATTATCTCTTCATTAATCATGGCATTAACTCTCTCCCTTCTCAATAACTCCCATTAAATTGCCTAAAATCCACTAATTATTTTTTCTTTTTATTTTGAATTTCTTTTTTTCCTTTGATAAAATGGATAATAAACTAAACAAACTTTGCTTAGGGATGATCATTTTAACCTGGCTCAAGCCTAGGCCTACATCATGCCCACAAATTTCATGGTTGAGGTTGGGCCTAATATTTCAAGCCTAGCTTAAGCCCAACCCGACTTGCAAACAAAAAAAGTTTAAATTTTAGTTAATAAAAAATATCATAAATAGTTAAATCGCCAAAACATAATACTTGGGTTGGACACAGGAGGCTCCTTTTGCTTTAATTTCACCTAACAAAGCCTATGCATCACACAATTCCCAACTTCCCAACTAGAAATTTATATAGATATGCACATACTCGTTGTTGTTCCATGCCATATAAAAAAACAATTATCATTGAATCCCACCAATTGTTGACATTCCAACAATTTAAATGCCAAGAGTTATCATCCTCCTATACGTTTGTTAGGAGAGAGAGAAAGAGAGAGAGAGAGAGAGAGAGAGAGGGGGCAAGAGAATTCTAAGACCTAGGTAGAGATGGCAATCTAACCTGCCCCCGCCCCCAGTTGGAGTGGGGTTTTTAACTGTTGACCACTTTTGGGGAAACCTAAAATTATGGTGATCAGGGGTGGGGTGGGGTGGTATGTGTCCACCCCCAGCCCCAACCCTAAACCCACCCTGATTGCAAGACATAAAAATATTAGATGAATTTACCAAAAAAAAAGAACATAGTCAAGTTTCAACCCTTTATGACAATAACTCATCAAAACAACATAATATACTTTATAAGATATATTATATTATGAAAATTTGAAGTAGAAGCCAAAACTCAAAAGGTGAGGATAGGGCAAATTCGAAAATCCCCATTCCATGAAGGGGCAAGGATGGGATTAAGATTTATATCCCCATCAAGGTATATAGTGGGGACAGGGTGGAATAGATAAGTTTGAGGTTGGTATCAACTTGACCCATGTTCATTTATGCTCCTACTTCAATTTTATGGATTCCTTATGTTTCAATTTTTATTAAATCATGTGCATCACACAGGTCCCGACTAGTAGAATATGATGGTTATCGTCTAGCAATATATTATATATAGATAACCAAACTCTTCCCTCTCTTGCTCTAGCTCAAAGTCTAAACCCTTTACAATTTTTTCCACTTCACTATTATGCTTGTGTGAGCATTCCTTGCTTCACAATAGAACAACCAAACCAGGCAACCTTTCTCCTATCCTCTTCTTCTTCTAATACTCAATTGTATTGTAGGGCATCACCATGCATCTATTAGAAAGAGGTTCAACAACACTATAAACTACTATTGAGTGTTAACTTACAACTAATTAAAGGAAGTTTGGCCACCATTTATTGGAAGAAAGATTGCCATATATACAGTGCTAAGTGCTTAGTTATTCTTCAATTTGCGTCTTAGGTTTGGTGGTTTCTATTGCCTTACAGAGATCTAGTTTCAATTCGCGTGTGCTGAATATAAATCAACATTTTTTTTCTTTTGAAATAGGGATTCCATCCCCTTTGCTAGTTCTTGCTACTATTCCTCCATCTTAATTTTTCTAGCTAATTTTTATAATAGTCTCAAGGGTTTGTCCCCAACGTGTACGACTATCCATAGGCCAATGGGAATAACCACACGATCAATGAGGTATTTGCTCTATGTGGACTAGCTAGCATGCACTTACTATCAAAACCTTTTTTTTTCAATTATTATATATTATTATTTTCTTATAAAAATAAAATCGGTTTTGTCTTATCTCTTTTTGAACTTGATCCACTAGAGAAATTATTTGGTTGAGAAAAAATCTCAAATACAGGGACAAGTGTCTCATCCTAGGTAAGAATAATCCCCTAACATTCTAGGAGGAAGAATAGGGTTGCTCCCTATTTTAAGAGCACCCAACATTCACTAGGGATTCTATAATAGAACTCCAAAAGTGGCGTACAAGATACACCACATTGGCATACAATATTACTCTTATTATCCATTTTAAGCAAGAGAAGAAGTTGGGTATGAAAAGTCTCCACCTGGGCTGTTGAAAAAGTTTGAGCCTAGTGTCCAAACTTGGCACAAGTTCCTGGGACATCACCACCACAAAAGTCTTTCATATTGATGAGAACTTGCAAGAAGCAATTTCTTTAGGTTATCAAAAGTTCAATCTTTGAATAGCTGAGTTGCTTAAGTTTCTTTTCAAGAATCCTAGTGAGAAGAAAGATGTGACATGCTTACAACATGGCGAGTAAGTTTTGTTTTTGTTTCTCTTTACCATTTATGACAATGATATGGTTAAATGGAAGAAAAATATCTAGTAATTTCAATGCTTGGTTGTTTACATTTAAGTTGCTAATATAATAATCATTTATAATATCTATTCATTGTTAACTAAAAGCACATTCGCATTAGTGGTGTGAGGGCTTGTGTTATGCACGTGTAGAAGTAAAGGGTAAAGATATAGTTTAAGATTATACAGTCAAATTTAACTTTTATGACTTACACCAAAACCTAGGCAAACATCCGCTTTATAATATTATATATATATAGGCAAATCATATGCCTCTATGTCTAAATCACAGCTATCTAGGAAACGAATAAAGTAATTAGAAATTTGTTCAATGTGACAAAATGTTAACAAGAAAATTGGGATCTGTTTTAATAAGGAAAAAAGTTTTATATACATGTTCCACAACAAATAAGAGGACATGAATCTAAAGTTGATCTTGCATTTAGATGTAGTCAAAAGATTTTAACAAAGTATTCTTTTGCAAGTATGTTATGAAAATGAACCTAGATTGGTCCATATTTCATAATTATAACCCAAATTTTAAGCTACATGTATTAGGAAAATTACTTTTTTAGCAGCATAAAAATGGATTTATAAAATAGTTTAAAAAAACTATGTTAAAGATTATAAGATAAAAAAATGTAGTGAATTAATATAAATGCTCTAGCTTAGGTGGTAAAGGGAGTGGATGTAGTTCTCACTGACATGGAATCAAATCCTGCTTTTTCTCTCCACTCCCCCCCCCCCCAAGTTTTTCTAGCAAAAGAACAATAAATAGGAATGTAGTTCTTAATTCCAGTGCTATTCTATTACTTCTCTCATCTTATATTTGTATTTTAGAAAACCAATAAGGTTATTTTTGAGCCACACCGCTAGTAGTCCAACCCTTGTAGAAGATCCAATTAAAATAGCCAAAATATTTCTGTGACCATTTTTGAAAACATCACTAATGCTTAAAGGGCCATGGTTACCCAAGTTACATCTCTCAAAA